ACAGATTTATAATAATACTGAGTGAATTCCATTTGTGGAAGGAAACGTTTTTTTTTTTATTTTTTATTTTTTCATCTCAAAGGAGTTCACAAAAACAATCATCCCTGCACTAACTCTCAAAGAATTTTCATCACATCCAAATCCAGGACTCCATAAGGCAGAGGCAGAGATGTGATCAGATGTACCCAAAGGAAAATAGAAGAACTTATTTTAAGAGGGCTTTAAAATGATTGAAAATAAATAATAAACACTGTTACTTGGTCATTTGGTATTTAAAAAGTATGTGTTACATGTGTCTTCCAAAATTTAGGAACACAAGTACAATGTGTGGTGAAAATAATACATTTTGTATACATAGAATGAATACATGCCTATATCTCCCTGTATTTATTCCTTCTCATTTAAAACTACTTAATATCCTATTTCTTTCTAACTATTTCCAGGTTTGACAATGGACATATCATTTGATGTAATTTTGTTGTCATGGTTGAAGTTATTGTTTCATATGAAGTTTGCCTTTATTCTACTCTGAGTTTATTTTGTCTTGTAATCTTCAGAAAATAAAATATTCCAACACAAATTAGCATACATCATGACTTTAAAAAATGTTTGTAAGAAAATGATGCTTTTTTTAAGTTTAGGGAAAATATGAAACGGTTATCATCTCTTTTACCATTTCTTCCACTTTTTGATGTGGAAAATGAACGAAAACTTTTAGCTCTGGTAGTAATAAATGTGATTGAGAGATTGTGGCCTTCTTTGGCATCCTCAACTCCCATACAAAGTAGCTAATTTCCTTTTGTTACTGGTATTCTAAGTGATATAATTTTTAAGTGAGATTCATTTATGCTTTCAAACTTTGCTTTGTCAACTAAAGAAATTTTTATACAACGGCACAAAAGGAAAATAACATACTAATTTTTAGCAGAGGAATTACAGTTGAGTTCTTCAGAGATTTAGGGCACAGAGCACAGATCTGTTGGGGTTTCCTGCTGTCCCTGGACAGCCAGGACATGAACACAAGATTCCTTTCCCAAGCCATCTGGCTAATGTTAGATAGAATCTGCTCTGTCAGTCCTCAGCCTAGAACATATTGTTACCACCAACATTACCATTTACTTGCATGTATTAATTTAATGATTACAGCAGATTCTTTGCTACACAAGATTTTGGATAGTTCATATATGATACTCTAGTGTATTCATTTCTGACTTAATAATGTAGATTTTTGTGTAATGAACATTAAGTGATCATTCATCTAATTTTCAAATGCAATTGTTTTCACAACATATTTTTTTCTAGCACAAGTATTTCACTTTCTATTTTCATGTCACTTAGAAATACATTTTCCAAAATTGGAATAGAAAAAGAAGGGACCAAATGACCAAGTAAAAACAATATATAATCTCAAATTATTTTATTTTGGCTATCTAATGACTTACAGTGTCTAAGGATTTGTTAGAAGGTATGTTTTAATATTTGAAATAACTGAGTGCTTAGACAACCAGCCATTAAATAATGCTTGGAGCATCATCACTTGAGTGTAGACAAGGGTAGATGCTTTATCCTGTGCGTGGACACTGTGAATTCCCTGGGCTATTTATCAACACTCATAACTAGGATGAAGCCCTCTAGCTACCATATGTTCCAATGTGCTGATTACAGAGTTTGCTCTAATAATTACTCTCCAGAGGGTAGAAAGTTGACTATTGTTTTTTTACCATTTACCTAGGAGTCCTACACTCCAAATGAGGTCATCATAACTGCACAAGTACTGTATGAGGAAAGAAAAAAAAAACCACCAATCCAAACCCTTTGTCCTAGTTTTTTTTTTCAGTATAACCCTCTTTCTCCATACATTTAAAACCCTAAAATGTATCAGTGCTGCAATGATTAATCTGCACTATTATATTTGAAATCCATCTCGTAACGTTAATTCTAGTTTAATTTTTAAAAATTTGAGTATAGTATTGAAGTTTAATTTATTTAACATTTGTCTTCAGAATGAAACAGCTCAATGAAAAGCTGTTTCCTGGATGACTTCATCAGATACCTACTCAATTGCAAATGGACACGGAAACTATCAATGACATCATAGTTTAATAGACTAGATACTAAAAAGTTGGGTGACTTTAATATCCTAGAAATGCTGAAAGTATCATATGACACACAGAAATAATTTAACACTCTCAATATTGTCTTATAATATGGATTTTCTTGTGGTTTTGATTGTTGTATTTTCTCAAAACTCTTTAAAATAGTGATTATATCCACTCTTCCTCCACAAAAATTATGAAAAACACAACCAAATGAAAAGCCAAATTTTCACTCTGTCTAAAATAATATCTATAGTGTTTCCATAATGAAATAATTTCAGAGGGATATGATGTAGCCCATTGAAACAGAAAAATTAGTGCAAATGGAGAGGTAGGTCAGAAACTAAGCAGCCATATCTGAGAAGGTAGACTGATAACCTCATAGATGCATGTTTCCTTTTAACTCTTCATATACCAACATTTAATTAATAACATTACTTTACTAATAAGTTTAATTTTATTCTCCAAATGAAACTGGAATCTTTCTACCACTATGAAGAGATCTGGCAGCATCCCCTAAATTTCTCATTTACATATCATATGACACAGCAATCTCACTTATGAGCAGTATACGTGTATATGTCCATCCCAGGGTCATAAAGTGGTTACACTGGCACTTTTTGTTATAACTTGGCAAAAAATGTTCAACAATAGCATAGTTGATAACTGTATTACAACCATACAATGGACTATTTATGTCAAATGAACTTGTATCTGTTCTTATACTATATAATGGCACGAATGAGTCTACAACCATGTTGAGGGAAATACTAAAGCATACATTATGTTATTTAGGGCTTTATTAAAGTCAGAATCAAGAAAAACTTTAAAATAATATGTAAAATCAACATATTATTACATAGCACCATATGTCTGGTTATGAGAAATTTTTGAAATAATGATATTCCAACATGGAAGGGTAAACATATAATTAAAGGGTGTTTTAAGCACAAATGAATAAAAGTAATCCCATTACATGGATCTCCATTCATGTATGCCTTTATAAGTCATAATTAGATTTAAAATTGTACTGCAAATAAGAATGATGCAAGTATTTAGTATATTAATGTATATAGTTTTCTTGTCAAAATATTCAGATAAAGATATTTAAAAAAATCAGTAGCAGATATTGGCTTACTGGTATTCTTTTCCTCAATGTTATGTGAGATATTTTGAACTGAGTGAAAGGATTTATTTATAAAAAGTTAAGTGCATGATTTTCCCTCCTATACATGCATTGTTATATGAGCAAATAAATGTAGAAATAATAAGAGAAGCATCTCTCATCTGTTAGGTTTCATGCTCTATTTTTGGAAGTTAACACAGCTTGCAGTTTAAGTAGTCTTTCCACAGTAATCATGCAGGGAATTATAATACTATCACTTTTTTTTCATTTCCCTGCACTCATGCAGTCCGTAGCAATTCAATACCCATTTCAAAGATGCAGCCAGCCGTTTTTCACCATCTCACTGGCTGAACAATATTCTTGTTCTCTTTCAAGATCCATTTCTTTAAGGAACACATCCCAGGAACCGTTTCCCAGATATAATCATTAGTATTGCAGTACATTATTTTACTATTGCCTGTGGGGAGGATTTTCATGCTTCAGCACAGTCTAATATTTAAATTGAAAATAAAACTTTTAAAGCTGGAAGGAACTAGGGAAGCTTGTTGGATTGTGACCACCATTTTGAACTAGATACTCTGACAGAATGCCCTATTTCATCTTTTCAAGCTTCATTTTCCATTAAAATATAATCTGAGCAATTCAAATGTGGACTGAATCTCATACTTCTCAGAATTCCAGATCGTCTTTGTAGCTTCCACTTACTTCAAAGACCGAGACATGCAATGAAGCTTTCTCCCCACGGTTAGCACAGCAAGGTATTTACGATAAGAACTCATCAAGCTGCATAGCTAACGTGAAGTGCCACGCCATATTGATCTGGACCTGAACATGTAGCAAAAGGAGGAACAACTGCTAAGTACAGTACTGAGTATCAATGCAATCTATATCTCAGAGCTGTAAATTAGCATGAAAAAGCATTATTAATGAGAAGACCAGGTGATGTCTCATCCAATAGAAAGAATTGCACCAAGGCTTCATGCTTCTATTTCTGAATTTTCTGATTTTTTTTTTTGCTATACATGGAAAATTAATAGAAGAAGAGAGAAATATGCTGCTAAAGGGAATAATATCAATATAACACATCACTTTGAAATACATAAGGATGAATTTGTCTCCAACTTTTTTTTTCTAAGTTTCTCCCCCCCCCTGCCCATTGGACCTCATGGAAATATGAGGGTTTTCGTTCGGCAAACCACTTAGTTCCTAGTGGGATTTGAGTGATCACTCCTAAAACTGCTTAGTGCCATTTTAAAAACAAGTAAATTAGAAGTTGGTTTGCAACATTATTTTTTCATTGATTTCTGCCTATGGGTAAGCCAATGTTTTTTGTAAAATGTAAAGGAGGACCTTCAGTAAATCAAGAGCTATCTCCAATTGATAACCATTTGCAAATGAAACTTTATTTTTCTTAAAGGGATTACCACTGGGTAAACAATCTACTCTTTCTTTCTAACATAATATTTTTATTGATCCTTTGGGAATTTCACATTATGTACCCCAATCACACTCACTTTCCAGTCCTTCAATGTCTGCCCTCCCCTATCCTTGTGACCTCCTCCCAAAATAAAAATAAGAGTAATTAAAAATAGATAAGTCCAGTTTGTGATCTCTTTATGGTCACTGGAGCATGGTCCAACTCTCAGTGGCCTGCTCCTTAAAAATAACTGAGTCCTTTTCCTCTGGCACCCCCACCGGAAGCCATCAATTGTGGAGAGCTGCACTTCTGCATACTTATCAAACTTGTTAAGAGTTGTCTTTGATGTCTTCCTGTTTAGGCCACTACTTTGGGGGATAGAGTGTGGAGTGAGGAAGAGTTTGTCACAGAAGTCTTTCCTGTTTGTCTCTCAACTGTGCATCTGAAGTCATCATCCATATTGCTGCAAGAAGAGCTACCTTTCTTGCTCTTTACATTCAACAGGAGCATGGATCATGGGCTTCCATCTGGATTCTGTTGACTACACAGACCACTACCGCTGCCCCTAGCTGCCTCAGGACCACAGATCCAGATAAGGCAGCACAGACTGTGGACATCATCCTGGCCCCAGGTGGCTACACAGGCCACTCACATCAGCTTGCCCCTCAGCAGCAGCACTGCTCATGGCCATCATCATGACTTCAGGCCACAGTGCAGACTAGGAGGATCCGAATGGCCTGAAGTTGTAACAAAGGCCCCAGACATCAACCCATACCCTAGATAAATCAGAACTATTGACCCACACATAGCCATCAGTGGCAGCATGGACCAAAGACATCATCATGACCCTATGTAGCTACATTGGCCACTTACTTCAACATGGCCCCTGCCCTGTAGTACAGCCCTCAGGTATCAACTTTGCTTCATGTGGCAGCACTGACCACTGATATCTGTATGGCCTTGATTGATAACACATGCTACAGATGTCAACACAGCCACCTGGCTGTATCAGGACCACCAACTCACTCATGATCCTCTCGGGCAGGAGGGACCACGGGCCTCAATATGCCCTCAGGTAGCTACACAGGCCATTCACATCAATATGGCCTAACAAAGCAGCAAGTCCCAAGGACATCAAGAAGAATTGAGCCAGTGACAGGCTGTGTACATCCACATGGATATTGGACTTCATAGTAGCCTGGGACAGCAGCATGGATCATAGACACCAACATGGCCTCCAGTGACATCAGGAGGATCATGAGGAGGTCCAATCCAGAGAGTGAACCATTCCTCATCTTGGGCCTCCTAAAGCTGGGGTGATGCCACAGCTGTATTCGGAGCTGAGTCTGCTTCTGTGTAAGCTCCACCCTGCTGACCTTACTGGGCAACTACTTGTTCCACTGACAACCTCAGCCCTCTCTCATACCTGTTACCGCTCCTTGAGTTCAAATTGTACATGTGCCAACAAAGAAGCTAAAGATGTATACTAGCCTTAACTGTATACCATTCAGGGTTCTGGCCATTGGCTAGATACTGCACAATAAACTGCTCTCTGGGAAAAAAAAAAAGGCAGAAGGAGGAAGGATTGGAATGGAGAGGCCACGGGAAGAAACTGGGAGGAGCAGAGGAGTGGAAATGGAATCAGAATATATTATTTGAGGGAAAGAAAAACTTTTCTTATTCTTGTTAAAATGACACTAAACAATAAAAGAATATATTTTTTAGTTATATGAGCAGAAAAAAAGAGATATATAAAGGGCTCACATTCCTATTATACTGTTAACTATGAGATTAATCTGTCAATCTTGACACATTTATGTACATTCTGATTTATGCGTTTGTTTACCTGAAGAGGGAAAATCAGTTATGTAATTACTACATTTTTTATTTGGCATTTTTTTTTAAAAAAAAACCTTAATTCCTCTACATTAAAGTTAAGCTTATGAGATCTAGTCCATTAGTATAAGAATGTTGGAGTCTGTCCATTTGCAACTTACAGTCAACATCAGAAATGGGGTAAGATGTTACATAAAGACAATCCATTCAGAGAGGAAGGGCTAGGCCTGCATGCCCATACTACATTTCTGAAGGGAGAAGATTACACAGATATTATTTTCTGGTTAGAATAGTCAGCATTTTTTTCAGATGATCTCCCAGATTTTGAAAACAATGTACTGAAAGGGCTTCAAAATGTAGTTTTCTGTCATGTGTGTGATACTTACTGCATAGAGATTATAAATGTGATTTCCCTTGAACATGTTTTAGAAAGCAGAATTAGCTATATATAAGGTGATTAGAAAAATTAATATTGTTTGCTTCCCTCCTCCCCACAGTGGTAAGGACTGAAATTGGAACCTCCTATATGCTCGACAAGTGAGAGCAATTTATCTAAATTTCCCAGTCTGGCTTTGAACTCTCTATGTAGAACACAATGTCTTATAATTCAAGATACCCTTGCCATATAAGCTCATGTATTACCACACTGGAAAACATATTTAAATAAAATTTCTCAAATTCTCCATGAACCTATAAATCCTTTTTTTTTTTTTTTTGCTTATACTTTTATATAGTTTTCAATATCCTTTATTTCTTTGTCAGTGTATTTGGAAGAATGATTCAACACTCTTAGAATATTTGATTTTTCTCAGGGAAGTTAATCTTACAGTTGGTGTCATTTAATGAAGTTTCATTTTACTAAGATTGAAAACAAAATGATTTCCCCATTTATTTCTATGTAGAAACTTACTTAATAAAACATGAATTTTAAGAGCTATTTTCCAATGCTTGAGACTTTTTTTGTTCTTGAACTATTGACTTAAATCTGAGGTATTTGCAAGGAAGCTTTAAAATTTGTCAAACATGAAGGCTGTTTCAAACAAATTCTACTAGTTTGCTTGATAAAATTGCCTTGATTTAATATGAATGGAAAACTCATAGATAATGAATCTAATAGTGTTTTGCCCTTCTATTTTGTCAAAAACAACTAATCTAAGTCACTTAAAGCCATCATTGTGATAAAACTTCAGTAAGTGCCATTTCAATCATTGATAGTGAGCTTATTTTTAGAACGTTTGTAAAACTATCTCTACTTAATCAATTTCTGTGTCATTGTTCCTTTAAAAATAAAAGAAAGTTTGTTGTGTTAAAATACCAGAAACACAGTATTTCTGTATTTGGAACTACAATTCTGTGGTTTTGAGTAAATCCTATCAAGATCCCCAGGTTTCAGAGACCATCTCTCTTACCAAGCTGTAATGTATCTTAGCACATTGCTGAGCTCCTATCCAATAGGATGACTAAGTACAGGTTTCTATCACTATATCACATTCTCCCTCAATTAAGACATGCTATACCTTGTTGCTAGAGGCCTTCACATGTTAGAATGAGCACATGCAGTGGTGTACATGTGCACAACACATGCATCATATAGTCCTGGTTTATGCCTGTAATTATGTCACAACTAATATTAATACTGTTAGTATTTGAAGTGTCTGTGTTTGAACTATGTTCTCTTTTTGCCCTAATTAATATAATAAGGTCCAAACAGACATTTATATATATATATATATATATATAAAATTGTGTTTGTGATCAAGCAAATATAAATATACAAACATAAACATACAAAAAAATCAAATAAGAGGCCTTAATGTTAAGGAAAAAACAAGGACTCTAGTTTCAAAGAACTCAGGTTAAATACTACCTTAGCATACAATGACTGTGGTGCATTGGCTCAAATACTTCCTGTGGTACTCAACTTTTTTGTCAATAAAATGGGTCCTGCAATCTCTGCTTGAAAGTTTGATTATGAGGATTAATTCAGAAAGATGTCAATCATAAAATAATGTTGCTTCAATTATTTTAATACCATTGTATAAGAAGATAAAGCATTGGACATAACACTTTAGAATATATATAGCACTGAGCAATATTCAACAGCTTAAGGGAAAACAAGACTTACTGCTTTGGTAGAATCCATTCTGAGGCTAAATTAGCAATTGCTCTACTTATCACAGCAAGGAATCCATTTTGCTAAAAATAACAGAAAGGAACATGCTGTATCCAAAAAACTATATACTGGTTCACTTGAAACAAAAGGATTTGAAAAGTCTGCATAGCATAAGCCTGCTACTTCCATTCATGCTTTTCAGAGATCATTATTTTTCCTTACTTTTAACAAAAGTCTTGCAGTTTCCTTAAGAATAAGCTGTCATTCTTGACACACATCCTCCTGTATCACCAGCAATAATTTTTTTAAAAAAATATTATTTTTAACACAGAAATTTCTTTTTGGTAGTTATAAGCATTAAAATATAGATAATTTTTATTTAGTAAAAATATATATGAAGCATATAAAACAAATCAAATTCTCACAGAAAAGTAAGATTTTATTTCTCTGTGTGCATGTGTGATTTGTATGAATGTGTGCATGTGTGTGTATGTGTGTGTACTTGTGTGGTTTGTGTCTTGAGTGGATGGGTGTGTTTGCTCATGTATGTAAAAATAAGGTGCATATGTAGCAGCCTAGAGGGAGAGGATTCTTGTCTCCCTCCTGAAGCAGGAATCTTAGAAGGTCTTCTTAATAAAATCAAACCTGAGGCCAGTTATTGGGGTGAATGCTGGAAGATCAGAGAAGCAGAACAAGCCACAGCTACCTCACCTTGCCAGTTCCTCAGCTGATCCTGTTTCCTCAGACTAGAAGCCTCTGAGTCCTCATCCAGAATGAATCTCAGCTGAACTGCTGCTCCAATGCCTGAAAGCTTAACCAGCCAAATGCTTCTAGTTCCTGGTCTTCATGCCTTATATACCTTTCTGCTATCTGTTATCACTCCCCGGGATTAAAGGCTCACTTCTTGGGATTAAAGGCATGTGTCACCTTGCCTGGCTGTTTCCAATGTGGCCTTGAACTCACAGAGATCCAGAGGGATTTCTGCCTCTGGAATGCTAGGATTAAAGGTGTGAGTGCCACCATTTTCTAGCCTCTGTATCTAGTGGTTGTTCTGTTCTTTGACCCCAAGTAAGTTTATTAGTTTGCACAATATCTTGGGGAACACAATACCACCACACCCTCCATTATTTTCCAGTTTACTGTATATGACAAGATCTCTCATTGTGCCTAGAATTCACTGATTTTGATAAAGTGCTGGCCAGTATTACCCCAGGATCCCTCTGTCTCCAGGGCAGAGACTACAGAACTGCAAAAAGCCCATATTTACATGTGTGCTGAATATCTGAATTCTATTCCTCACATTTTTTTTTCTTTTTGAGACAGGGTTTCTCCATGTGTTTTTGGTGCCTGTCCTGGATCTTGCTCTTTATACCAGGGTGGCCTCTAACTCATAGAGATCTACCTGCCTCTGCCTTCTGAGTGATGGAATTAAAGGTGTGCACCACCACTGCCGGGCTATTCCTCAAATTTTTATACCAAATATTTTACTAACTGAACCATCCCCCCAGCTACAAATTAATATTTGATCTCAAGATATTCTAAAAATTGACTAACTTTCTGAAATTAATATGAATGAATAGTCACAATAAAAACATGTAGTTAGCATATATGCGTTGTAAATGAGTCCTCATTTCACCCGTAATTATTAGTGGAAAATGAGTGTTTAACCATGTGGACTCCAATGCCTTCAGAGACATTGCCACATTGCATGTCTTATTTTTTCACATATTTTATTGATTTATCTTTTAAGTTATAGATTTGATATTAGTCTCCTTGCAAAGTTTATAATAAACTGTAGCTTAAGTTTTCCGGCCTTGCCCACAGTCAGGACAAATCTCTGTCACCCGCCAGTCCCACAGCCGCTCAGACCCAACCAAGTAAACACAGAGACTTATATTGCTTACAAACTGTATGGCTGTGGCAGGCTTCTTGCTAACTGTTCTTATAGCTCAAATTAATCCATTTCCATAAATCTATACCTTGCCACATGGCTGGTGGCTTACCGGCGACTTCACATGCTGCAGGTCATGGCGGCAACTGGCAGTGTCTCTCTGCCTCAGCCTTCTGCTTCCCAGAATTCTCCTCTCTCCTTGTCCCACCTACTCCCTGCCTGGCCACTGGCCAATCAGTGTTTTATTTATTGACCAATCAGAGCAATTTGACATACAGACCATCCCACAGCAATAAACCATTTTCACAGACCCACAGCTATGAAAGTACAAAATAATTTTTAAGTAATAAAGCACTCTTGAGTGGATGAACCTGTGACTCAGGGAAAATTGAGGATTAATAATAGAAGTTTGCACATTATGTACCTTTTAGCCACATTGACATCCCAAGACCATAAGATTTTGTAGCATCATCAAGAATGGATAAGGAACAAAACAGACACAAGTCTAACAGGGTAGGAAAACACTGATATGTATGAATGAAGAAGGAAGATTTAACATGAAAAAATCCAATGTGCTGGGCATGCAATGTCTGGTTGAGCCCCTGGAGAATTTAAAGTCTTCACACCATTACTAAATGGGGAAAATGATAAAAATTTGATAAGCAGCTGGCATTTCTTGAACCAGTCTTAAAACAGTTTCTAAGCTGGGTGGTGGTGGAACACACCTTTAATCCCAGCACTCAGGAAGCAGAGGCAGGTGGATCTCTGTGAGTTCATGGCCAGCCTGGGCTACAGAGTGAGTTCCAGGAAAGGCTCAAAGCTACAGAGAGAAACCCTGTCTGGAAAAGACCAAAAACAACAAACAACAACAACAAAAAAAAAAAAAAAACAACAGTTTCCAGCACAAAACTTAGAAAACATACTCATATGTGAAAATGCCAGAGGTTTGTCCGCTAAAACCATGGATGCCTCCTCAGGTCAGTAGAAAGTTGCATGTAGTAAACACAATGGAAGA